TTTTTTGAATAACAATAGAAGCTATTACTTGATCCAGTGACTTCATAATTAAATTTACGTAAAAAATTTTATAGATTTCTATATTTATTTCAGTTATTATTATTATTATTATTATTTTTTTTTTTTTTTATAACACGTTTTTAGTTATTATAATATTAATTTAATATACAAAAAGATTTTACGATGACAAAGTGTATAAAATATGGATTTAAATTTATTTCTGAAAATACAAACTTCCTTTATTTCTGAATATACAAACTTCCTATTTCTAAAAATACAAACTTCCTTATTAAATGCTAATCCGCAATGTTCTATAATTAGTATATCTCTTATAAATTGTTAAAATTTTGCATTACAAAAATAAAAATGTTTACATAGAAACTTTTTAACTAAATACTATTGCTCGGAGCTCTGTGATAAGAGTACCTAAAGTACCTTAAAAAAACCTCAAGCTAAAAAAAAAAAAAAAAAAAAAATGCGCAAATTATATTAAACACAAAAACGTTAACACAAAAACGCGATGTCTATTTTTGTCTATTGTTGATTTGTTTACTAAATTAAAAATATATATTACTATAATTGTTTTAGCAGAAATGTTATTATTAATAAATATATTATTAGAAAAATGATTGCTATTGATGGTGTAATAAAAAAATCGTATACAAAAATCTGAGTAATAGATGATATCTCAAACGGTAATACTAATTTCACCAATAAATAGACATAATTTCTAAGTTATAACACTCTAGTAATATATAAAGTATATTTCATTATATAATTTATATAATGAAATTAGTATACTTTATATATTACTATAGTGTTAAAATTATATATATATATATATATATATATATATATATATATATATATATATATATATATATATATATATATATATATATATATATATATATATATATATATATATATATATATATATATTATAAACGTATATATTAGTAATGAAAACAATACCACCTTTTTAGATCTAATTTTTTTTATTTTATCTATTAATTTTTTTTACTTTTGCAATTGGTAATTAATGTTTTTATTTTGCTAAAATTTGTAGCTAGGAATTTATTATTTTAATTTTGAGAAACAACCATTTGGCACCATGCTTTGTGCATAGTGAGTTTTAATTTTTTCTCACAATTTTTTTTCAACTAATGAAATTAAATGCTTTAATTCTTATCTGTAAACAAAGATCAAAAAATTATAACAAAATTATATATATATATATATATATATATATATATATATATATATATATATATATATATATATATATATATATATATATATATATATATATATATATATATACAGTCACAATAAAAATTGAATGATTTAATGAAAATATGATTTTCATTAAATCATTCAATTTTTATATCAAAATATGATAATAATCATGATAATTGACAAAAAGAATAACTAAAAAAGCATTAGTTTGCTCATTATTTTAATACTTAGTATGATGTTATTGAGCTTTCTTACAATTAGCTAAATGGTTAGGAATAGAGTGAATAAAAAATATTTGTTTGAAAAAATTTTCAAACAAATATTTTAAATCTTTGTCAAACTTTAAAATGTTCAAACTTTTGATTGTGATTATATATATATATATATATATATATATATATATATATATATAATATATATATATATATATATATATATATATATATATATATGTATGTATATATATATATATATATATATATATATATATATATATATATATATATATATATGTATGTAATTTTTAATTTAGGCAGCGCTCAAATACAGTCAACACTGTTAAAAAGGGTCTAGAATAGCCCCTGTATATATGTGTGTGTGTGTGTGTGTATATATATATATATATATATATATATATATTTATATATATATATATATATATATATATATATATATATATATATTTATATATATATATATATATATATATATATATATATATATATATATAGAATAGAATAGAATAGAAAAGGTGCTGTACACACTTGAGGTGTGTAGAGTCTTAATTACGTAGAATTAAGACTATGACAGCCGATTACAAAAATTAGTGTTCAGAAACCGAAATAATTATCGATACTGTTTTTAAAAATGTTCAAATTATCTTTATCTAATATCCATTGTGGAAGAGAATTCCAATCATTTATAACTCTGTTTGTAAAGAAATGGTGACGAATTCTTGATTTTGTAAATTGTCTGCGTATTCTACAATTGTTACTTCTACTAGATATATATATACTATATATATATATATATATATATATATATATATATATATATATATATATATATATATATATATATATATATATATATATATATATATATATATATATATATATATATATATATATATGTATATATATATATATTTTATATATATATATATATATATATATATATATATATATATATATATATATATATATATATATATGTATATATATATATATATAAAATATATATATATATATATATATATATATATATATATATATATATATATATATATATATATATATATATATATATATATATATATTATAAACGTATATATTAGTAATGAAAACAATACCACCTTTTTAGATCTAATTTTTTTTATTTTATCTATTAATTTTTTTTACTTTTGCAATTGGTAATTAATGTTTTTATTTTGCTAAAATTTGTAGCTAGGAATTTATTATTTTAATTTTGAGAAACAACCATTTGGCACCATGCTTTGTGCATAGTGAGTTTTAATTTTTTCTCACAATTTTTTTTCAACTAATGAAATTAAATGCTTTAATTCTTATGTGTAAACAAAGATCAAAAAATTATAACAAAATTATATATATATATATATATATATATATATATATATATATATATATATATATATATATATATATATATATATATATATATACAGTCACAATAAAAATTGAATGATTTAATGAAAATATGATTTTCATTAAATCATTCAATTTTTATATCAAAATATGATAATAATCATGATAATTGACAAAAAGAATAACTAAAAAAGCATTAGTTTGCTCATTATTTTAATACTTAGTATGATGTTATTGAGCTTTCTTACAATTAGCTAAATGGTTAGGAATAGAGTGAATAAAATTTCAGGAAACATAACTTAAATCTATACTTGCCTAATATTCTCTCATAGATCATCAGAAAATTAAAAAGGTAATTACAGCAATTTTCAATAGGGTTGAGATGATATGGGTCAATGATCTAGTCTAAATAAACCAATGATCTGAGGTAATGGCATCCAATATAATGATTTTAGAGCAATATTTTACAGTCAAAAGCAAATAATGAGGGTTGTATTGTCAGCAAGGCAGTTATCTAACGCTTGTAGAAAAATAACCAAGTTCTTTAATTATTAATTCTTTGCTTAATATTACATCTTTCTAATCTTCTGTTGACCTGTTCTTGTATTTCAGACAGAAGGCCATCAGGTCTCTAATATTTTTTTGAGGAAGACTAGGTTATTATGCTGGAACATAATAAGTCTTTAAATAAAATTGTTTGTGCAAGTCTCTTTTAGTTGTCACAATACTTGATGCAAACCAGTGGGTGTTCTTATAAATAAATTTTCAGAAGGACTAGCAAACAGATATGGTTTTGCATAACAATGAATACAATTATCTGTCTTTTGAGTAATCACCTAAGGTCGTCCAGTTCATACATTGCATTTTAAATCATTAATTCCATGATATTGTTTCAATCGATTTATAATGTAACTATGTGTTACATAGTTGCATTATAAATTAAAATGTGCAGCAATAGCACTCAATCTAAGTCCTTGTTCACACAGAATAGAAATCTGACCTATTCTAGCAATCTGAGCTATTTTTCTGATGTTAACTTAGTTTTTGTCATAAATAATAATTTAATTTTTAATCTAAAATAACAGCAAATTATGACTAAAACAAATTTAGTATTTTATAAAATAAATTATATATATATATATATATATATATATATATATATATATATATATATATATATATATATATATATATATATATATATATATATATATAATATTAATACTCAAAATCTTTAATGTTGAAAAAAATTTTCAAACAAATATTTTAAATCTTTGTCAAACTTTAAAATGTTCAAACTTTTGATTGTGATTATATATATATATATATATATATATATATATATATATATATATATATATATATATATATATATATGTATATATATATATATATATATATATATATATATATATATATATATATATATATATATATATGTATGTAATTTTTAATTTAGGCAGCGCTCAAATACAGTCAACACTGTTAAAAAGGGTCTAGAATAGCCCCTGTATATATGTGTGTGTGTGTGTGTGTATATATATATATATATATATATATATATATATATATACATATATATATATATATATATATATATATATATATATATATATATATATATATATATATATAGAATAGAATAGAATAGAAAAGGTGCTGTACACACTTGAGGTGTGTAGAGTCTTAATTACGTAGAATTAAGACTATGACAGCCGATTACAAAAATTAGTGTTCAGAAACCGAAATAATTATCGATACTGTTTTTAAAAATGTTCAAATTATCTTTATCTAATATCCATTGTGGAAGAGAATTCCAATCATTTATAACTCTGTTTGTAAAGAAATGGTGACGAATTCTTGATTTTGTAAATTGTCTGCGTATTCTACAATTGTTACTTCTACTAGATATATATATACTATATATATATATATATATATATATATATATTATATATATATATATATATATATATATATATGTATATATATATATATATATATATATATATATATATATATATATGTATATATATATATATATATATATGTATATATATATATATATATATATATATATATATATATATATGTATATATATATATATATATATATATATATTCAGTCACAATCAAAAGTTTTTTTCTTTTTCCTAGCAGTTCAGAAGGGAAGACTACCCAAGTCACCACTAGAAGGTTCTATGGTTGATCAGTTTATTGCTATGAATAATAATGTCAGCCATTATAATGGATTACATCAGATTGCAAATTATTCTAACGTTTTATCTGCAAGGTAAATAGAATATGAATGTAAAGATAAACAACGAATTCGTGTTTAAATGAGCACTCTGATGTCACACCTGTTACCATGTGCTTCAGTATATATATATATATATATATATATATATATATATATATATATATATATATATATATATATATATATATATATATATATATATATATATATATATATATATTTATATATTTATATATATATATTTATATAGTTAGGGTTAGGGCTAACTTTAAATATGGTTATATTACTGTAATTAATTGTTTTTGTAAATAAATTTTAAAGAAAAAAAAAATTATATAATAATTAAATAAAAATAACAAAAATAATAATGAAAATATATATTTGTAACAAAGTATTAAATTTAAATAAGTATAAATAAAAACAGACATAAAATAAAAACATTAAAAAAAATAACATATATGAATAAAAAAGGAGTTTATAAAAATAAAATAAATGTCCTCGTAAATGTCGACTAGGAGAGTATTTATATATATATATATATATATATATATATATATATATATATATATATATATATATATATATTTATATATATATATATTTATATATATATATATATATATATATATATATATATATATATATATATATTATTATTATTATTTTTTTATTTACATGCCTTTTTTAACTATTTGTTTATTTAATAACAATATTTGTTTTGGTGTGTGCTGTCCATAAAGTTATATGTGTTGATTTTAATTAGTTTTTTAAAACTAAACTATTGTAAACTATCAACGTTAAATAAATTTTTTAAATAAAAATAAAAAAATATTGACAACAAATAATGTTATTATTAAGAAAAAAAATAATTCTTTTTTAATTACCGCAAACTTGCTAACTTAATTGACTAAAGTTGTTGTTTTTTTTAATGCACAATGTGTTTGTTTATCTTTTTTAATGTTTTATACTTTTTTTTTCTTTTTTTTTTGTTTTGTTATATTTTTTTTTTTTTTTTTAGTGAACATACATCAACTGACGAATAGGTAGACATTGACAGACAACTAGGTAGAACATGCAAGGAGTGTTGCTACATCAATTGAGAGTTTTAGCTAGGACAAGCAATCTTATTTTTAAAAAATTTCTGGTCTTAATATTTAAAGTTTATGTCAACAAAGTATGATAAAACTTTCATCCAACAACATATTATGTTTATATATATATATATATATATATTATATATATATATATATATATATATACTTACAACTATAAATGCATGTTTAGATAAGCATGGTGACGTCACAATGACATAACCTACTGCTGGGGACTTCAGTACATACATTCACATGTCATCGTGCTTATCTAAACATACATTTATAGTTGTATGTGTGTATATATATATATATATATATATATATATATATATATATATATATATATATATATATATATATATATATATACAGCGCTCGAAATAGCGGCCAATAAACAATCAATGATCGGCTATTTTTAGGGAAATTTTGAAAAATTCAATGGAAAATAACCTGTTTTTGTGAAAAAATTACATTTGATCAGCAAGCTTTGAAAAACTATTTCGAGCGCTGTATATATATATATATATATATATATATATATATATATATATATATATATATATATATATATATATATATATATATATATATATATACATATACATATATATATACATATACAAGCCTTCCCAGGAAACGCATGTTGTTTTTTTTGTCTTGTATGTCCACACATGAGTATTTTATTTTAGACAACGGCTGTTTGCAAGTTTTATTTTATTAGGCATTGCAGGAAAAAAAATAAAGTTTCAAAAGTAATAGAAAGCAAAACTGACAAAATAGGAAATTTAAATAAATTTAAATAGAAAAAAGTTATTATTTGAATAATTAGTGTACTGTTTTGGATAATTGGATAAGGCAAAGCAAAAATAAACTGTTTTAAGTTGACATTCGAAAGAATGATTATCCTATTTTTTTTTTGTAAAGAGGAAAGCAAAAATATAAATTGCTATCTATTTGTAAGATATATTTGTATAATTTTCATGAAACAAGTATATATTAACCATATTCATATTTGTCTATGCATACGCATACTTTTATTCAAAACTTTTTTTATTATGAATAGGTCTATGCATGCCTATACTTTTATATATAACTTTTTTATTATATAGTTATATTTATTTGTGCTAATGTAAAAGCGTGTTTAGCTTGTTTGGATAAGACATTAACCTCATACACAGAATGTCTGTAGTTGGACTCTGACTATATTCCGTTTTTTTAAATCTGACAATTGTTAATAATAATTGTTCTTAAAGACTGATGTGCAAAGGAGTGCTGCTACATTGACTGAGGGTTTGGTATATAGCATATAAAACAATTTGAGTAAAATCATATTGTGGAAATTTTCTGATTTCCTTGACATCTTAGAGGTGCAGCAGTATCATTTTTTCACTTTTTTTTAGTGGAAGTTCCCTATTGGGATAATAAAATAAAGATATAAAAACCATTTTCCTTGTTTTTTACTGAAAAATAACGTACAAACCATCAAAATTTTCAACAAATATATAATATATATTGCATTATAAAACTTATACTTTGGATCTTATCTTTGTGCCAAAGCTAAAATAATTGTCTTTTTTGTTTTGAATCTTTCTTTGATAATTTGATACAACTTGTAATATATATTGCAATTTCAGCAATATCATTAACAACTTTTATGTTTCACTGCATTGTATACTTTTAAATAAGTCTCATCTAGAGGCCAATCTTCTACTGGTTTGCTTTAGAATGCTGAAGACAATCCAAGTATACTAAAAAAAGAATTTGTGTTAGTTGTTACAAAATCTTCATGCTGCTTTGAGTCAATAGTGTTGATATCTATTTCTGTCTTTTCTTTGGAGGATCTGTTTCTTTGGAGGATCTGTTTCAGGTTTTGTAATAGCATTCTTCTTTTTTTTTTTTTTGTTGTCAAATCTTACTTTATCATCAAAGAAAGTCAATGCAATCAGCTCTTCAGAGAGATACCATAAATGATTCTTGTATTTGCCTAGTGTAACATTTACTAATTTTTTATTTTTACTTTTGTAGCTGTCAAGATTCTTCAGAAAACTGAGATCATTTTGTGGAGCACTTACTGCACAGAGAGCCAAGAATTGCAATGAATTGCAATGTATATTACAACAGAAAATAGACCAACCTCTGCTGTTTATTTTATTAACTGACTTTTAAACATCCAGATTTTCTTGAAATAAATGTCTTTTGCCATCTAACATGATTAGCCCAAGTTTCTCTGAAGCGGTACTCCAAAGACTGGAAAGTCTTTGGAGTACCGCCAAGCAATATAAGTAAAAGTTCCAATAGTTCTTTGTAATTGCTGCGATGTTGATCTTCTTTGAGTTTTTTTACTGCAACTTGTATGATTTCTACTTTTTCTTTTTGTGGATAGTCTAATTTATCGAATGAAGTTTGATCAATATTACTTCTATTTTTTCTATTAAATAAGTGAATGTCAGGGCCTGATAAAGCTTGCAATGCTGTAGATACCACTGCTTCCAATATGATTTCAATAAAATGATGTTGACAAGAACACAATAACAAATCTTTTTACATATTTTGTTTAAGTATGACACAAGCTCCTTTTTGACACCATTTTTTTTTTTTTTTCAAAGCACATACCTTTTACGTTATCTGTCAAATTCCATTTAATGATCAACTGATGTACTGCATTTGCAGTCTCCTTTCCTGTACCATGACCTAATTTTGGCACTCTAAGCAATTGACATCTCTACTGCCAGATATTAGGACTGCCAACTGATCTACAACTTCATGTCTTCTAGTAGTTTGCCATCCCAATGAACAAACAATGGTTTGTCAGTTTGAAAAGTCTCTTTCAAATTTTACTGAAATTCCCTCTCGATTTTTGTATTGTTAAATAAGCTCGCATCGTAATTATCTGGATCTTCTCCCAGATTTGTGATTGTTGGAATTATTATTAAAGTGGTTGATCAGTCACTGATCATAGCAACATTCCACGAGGAAAGCAAGTTTTTATTCATAATTTTTTACTTTTTTTCTTTAAGTGCCTTTTTTCAATGTTGATTTCTGTTCCAGATTTATTTCTTTTTCTGTAGATACAAGTGAATTACTGTAGGAGTTTTCGATGCTTGCAAGAATTACTGTTTCATCTAATGAATAGGATTCACATGATCTTTTTATATACATTTTTCGCTGCTCCTTCGTTGTTTCGAATTCAGCATTTCAACTCCCATCATTTTTTCCTATTGAACTTTCCTTTGTAACTTTAGAAAATCTCCATCTTCCTTCCACACCTCTTATACATCATTAAAAGTAGAAATTTATGCTTCTCTATCAGTTTCGTTAAAGATATTTTAATGCGTCAATAAAGAGATTACTTCTCTTATTAATGAACAAGTTGGATTCAATTTATTTATTTGTTGACATATCAGCCAAATATCTGTTGTACTTCTTGTTTGCATTTTTAATCACATTTATTAAATAGCTAGTAATTACTAATAATACAAGCAAAAAAATTTAAACTCATAAAACATGATTTTACTCAAATTTTTAAAATGGTACTTATTTTCAGTGTAAAAGCCTAAGGGGTTGACGGGTAATTCTATGTCAAATGACCCAGAAATTTTTTTAAAAAATCACACTATATCTCAGATTTTGCTGATTTTTACCTAGTTGAGAGTACTTAGTAAAATAAGAATTCCTTGAAAATTTTAGCCTCTAGCTCCAAAAAGATCCTGAAATATGACCATTTTACTTTTAACAGATGTTGGCCAGGCCCCTCTTGTCCCTTCAGAATTGCAACCTTTTTTTAAAGATTTCAAGTTACATTACTTTAAAAATGTTTAATCTTTTTACTTTGTACTTGAATTTGTAACTGTCTATTTTCAGGGGTGGTAAATCCAATGAAATAATCAGAAAGGTAAACAATTATTTTTAAGTAACTGTATTTATCAGTTTAAATAAATTTAGGCAATTTTTAATATACCTGATTTTAATGCTCAAGAAACCCATTGATATCAAAAAAAAAACATTAAAAATTATAAAATTAAAACATTTTGAGTGCTTTGTAAAATCATATTTTACTAAGCTCTCACAACTGTATAAAAATCTGCAAAATCTAAGATGTATGGTTACCTGGGTCATTTGATATGGAATTACCCTGACCCTAATTGGATTTTGTCATCCCTATGGCTCAAACTAAGCAATATAAAACAAACAACAAGAATTAAAACAGATGAGGGAGTCTTTCAAAAAATCTGTGACTTACTTGATACTTGCTTGAACACTTGTCTAATTTTTTTCTGCAACAACTTGTTTCTCCATCAGGTTCAATGTTCTTAATTTGAACATTGAGCACTCTATTTTGTAGAATACATTTGAAATTATATATATATATATATATATATATATATATATATATATATATATATATAATATTTGTTACATCAGATTGCAGCAACAACAGCAAAATCAATACTTAAGTCAAAACAACTTGTTTGGTGGGGATAGTATCTATGAGATGGCTACTAGGTTACTTTTTAATGCTGTTGAGTGGGCAAGGAATGTACCTTTCTTTTCAGGTTAATTTTTTTTTCATTAGGGGTCATCCAAATAATAACATCACGTAATTTTTGACATTTTCTGACCCCTCCCTACCCCCTCGGAATGCATCGTAACATTTTCTTAGTCTCCCTCCTCCCGCCCCCCACCCCCACCCCGCCCCCCAATATTATGCAACAATTTTGTAACCCTCCTCCTTAAAAAATTTTTTTAAACAATTGTAAATATGATGTTTGTAAATTTTCTTAGCTTCTTTGAGTTAATTAGTTAGTACTTTTTAGTCTATTTAATGTTTTTTTCACCCCAATAGTTTTGTGTAAAATTGTAATAATTAACATTGTTATCCTAAACATCATCTCATTTTTAAATAACTTTTTTTCCGATATAAACATGAAAAATTATTATTTTACAAATATAATTTTCTCTGCACTAGACATGTTAGCATAGTCAAGTGGATTACGTTTCCGGCTTTTTTTTTTTTTTTTTTTTTAAGTTGTTTTTTTAGTTGCTGCACACTTTTGTGTACCAACTAAATAAAGTTTTGCACTTATAATATAAAGTTTTAACATATAATATAAAAACCATATAAAGTCAAAGCACAGAACGTGTACTGCACATAGACTGTTACAACTGTAACACTCTGTTAACAGGCTGTAACTACTCTGTTAACAGAGTGTACACAGTGAATAAGTAAGATTTAGGTGCAGTTGATTTTACAATCAACATGTAGATATATCAACTGAGGGTTGTGGTCAGATGCTGATATAAAACTTAAAAAAAAATGTTGCATCACAAAATCGGAGACCCCTCCCCCTCGTAACAATCGTCACAAAATCGCTTACCCCTCTCCTGTTGCCCTTTCCCCTAAAGCGTGATGTAATTTATGGACGACCGCTTAAAGAAGTGTATGCAAATAATTGTAATTTATATTTTTAGTAGTTTATATTTTTGATAAATGAGATTTTTAGTTTTAAACTATAATAGGTTGATAATATTAAAGTGATTTTGAATTTCAGCTCTTCCAACATCTGATCAAATTGCACTATTAAAGTCTTCATGGAGTGAGCTTTATATTCTCAGCACATCTCAACATTGCATTGCATTTCAAATTAATGCTAGAGCTTTAACTTCAGAACAAAATCTAAGTGAAATAAAAAAACGAAGTGAAGGAGCAAATGAAGCATCAGTGAAAATGTTTGAAGAACTTGTTGAAAGATTCAAAAATCTGCAAACTGATGCTGCTGAATTTTCATGTCTGAAAGCTTTGGTACTGTTTAACCCAGGTACTTTTACAAGTTAATATTATAAGCTATGTAATTTGAACTTTCCATATAGTTTTACTGGTCAATTTAATTTATATTAAATTTAGAAGTTTAGTTATTGTTTTAATAAAAATCTTAAACTATCTTAATTAGACAAGTATTTGCTGTTGCAGTGTTTTTTTTTCGTTTGTTTGTTGTTGTTGTTGTTGTTTTTCTTAATGCATTCACTTCCCCCCTCTTTTAGGGCTGAGGGGCCATTATTCTCAACTCTAAAACTCTTTTAACTCTAAAACTCCAAAACACAAGATTTTTCACCTCAGTGTGTGTTAGGCTATATAATGGTTTTTTTTTTTTTTCAGTGACGCATTTATTTATCTCTGTTTCTTTAAAGTCATAATGTGTAATGTCATCATCTGTTTAAATTCATAGTATTCTGTAACAAAAGAGTTGGTCTATATAAAATTTCATTATTTTGTTTGCGGTTCAAACTTTCCACTTCGGAATTTAAAGTTGAAAAAATATATTCACTAATAATATAAACTTTAATTTCTATTGGTTTATTTATAAAGTATTTTATGCATGTATTTTCTGACCATTACTAACAGTTTAAGAAGTTTGTATTTGTAAACATTCTTGAAGATTTTAAATGCAAATTATTTTTATTAGGCTTATTTCTATTTCAATAAATTGTCATGCTCTTTCTCTGGACTGGGAGCTTTGAAATTATGCTTGGTTAACACTAAATGTTCATGTGTTAGAAATTAAAATAAATGAAATTTAAAATATGGTTTTAAAGTCTTTGAATGAATTCTGGAATTGTCACTGATGATAAGTTTTCTTTGAAATTTTATTTTCTCGTTAAAAAAAATCTTCAGAAATTTTCTTTTACTATTTTATTTTCAGTTTTTGACTTTTTTTTTTTTTTTTGTCTGTTAGAAATACTGATTTTTCAAAATCGTCATTGTTAAAATTGTCTTTTATTGTTATTATCTTTTTTAATATATTTGCTGAATTATTTACTTATAGTTACAATAAATATATAAAATAAACAAACAAGGTGTGATTCACATTGTATAGAGTCAAACAACAGTAGATGTCAGGCTGTAACAGCTTTTCTCAGTTTTGTATATAATTGTCATAAGGGGTTTTGAATATATTTAAATTTTTTTAATTGTTAAAATTGAGTTAAGATTTAAATAAAAAAACAACTTTATTAATAATAGTAAGTGTAAATAAAAAATAATTAATATTAATTAATAATAATATAAAAAATAATAATAATAATAATGACAGTAATTACTATTACCCATAAAATAATTAATTTCTTTTAATTGAATATTAATTATTTATTAAAGTTAGAATTATTACTATTATTATTAATTAAATATAATAAATGATTTTTTTATTATATTTATTAATTTATAATTCCAGTAAGCATATGAAAAATATTTTATTACACATTTTACATTATAGATTCTCCTGGATTAGGTAATCCATCACTTATAGAAAATCTCCAGGAGAAAGCGCAATCAGCTCTTGAAGATTATTTGCGTCAACAAAATGCAACACAGAGTTATCATAATAGATTTGGAAAACTTTTACTTCGTTTACCTGCGTTAAGTTTAATTAGACCAGCTACTATTGAAGCATTATTTTTTCCTCGTCACCATGGAAGTCAAAATATTGATAGTCTTGTTGGATCAATGTTATTGTATGGTTTAGGTTCCAATAATAATACATCTTTTGTTAACAATGGAATTCCTGCTGTTGGTCTTAATGGAGGTTCAAATGGATCAATATTAAACATGACCGGATTAGCTGGACATGTTACTTCAGGGTTTATAAATAATGCAAATTTAGCTTTTTCAAATGCTAACAATTTAAGTTCATTACAAATGCCAATACAAGATAATATACAGAATCTTTGTAATCCTAATATGTTCTCTGCAACAGGTATCAATCCTGTCAATGGCTTAAATGCATCAAATGGGTATGGTCATCATGTAATAAACAATATGATGAATCAGCATTCTGTAGCCAATCGAAACTCTCAAAATAACTCATGTGTGCAAAGCATGCAACAAAATGTCCAAATGCATTTAAGTCCAACCACAAGACACCATATTAAGATTGAGCCTCCTCTTAGGTGATACAATGATGTGCCATAAATTTAATAATAATATTTTTAATTTTTAATAATATTAGTTATTTATAATAGTTATGTTATGATATATGATGCATGTTTTAAAATTATTTTTTTAGAAAAAAAAATTTTTAATTTTGTTCACTGTTTGTACTGTAAACTTTGTTTGTATAGAATTTTAAAAAGATGCACAAGCTGAAACGTTAACATAAAATTTGTTTGTAAATTTTATGAATAAACTTAAGGTGTAAAGGTGCAAGGTGCAAAAGTGTAACAATAATATATTTTCTATTATAAAATTTTGTTTACGAAGTATTTATTACGTATTTTGTACAATTTATGTTGTCTGAAATAAAGATATTTTTTAAATTGTAAAGTGTTCCCCTTAAATCCCCTTTTATATGTCTCCCTTATATCAGTGTTTTTTGGCGCTTCCTTAAATTAAAAATCTTTTTTTTTTTTTTTTTTTTTTTTTTTGTTATTTGTTTGAATTCAAGTTCTATTTTCTTTAAAGGTATATTTATGGTATTCGTTATTATTTAACTGTTTAAGTAGCTATCCAACTATCCAATGGGTACTGACGTCTTATAAACCTTTCGTAATCTGCCGAGTTGTGTTTTTATTTATATTGTGTAAACTCTAAAGTGTTATTTTTATATTGTTATTTCCATTGTGTTATTTATAATGTTGCTGAATGATGTAAAAAGTAAATAAGTTTTTTTCAAATGTAATAAATTATAAATGTAAAATTTTTCCGTTGAATGTCATGTAATATTATTTATCATGTAATTATTAGTGTCATGTCAATATCGATAATATTATACATAAGCTAATTTTTTTTTTTCAAAGGTGGTACACCTAGTATCGGTATATTTAGTTTACACGCTAACTTAAATTTCTTAGTATTTCAAACAATCCGCCGATAATTCGTGATTAGTTTTCAAATAAGATATATTTTGGTGTGTTAATTACAAAAATGCTACAATTGAACTCTTGTAATCCGAAATCCTATAATTCTATAATATAATCCTATTATATAAAATCGAACTTTTAAAGGTATAATATTTATGATTGAATTCCTTTAATTCGAAACCTCTTTTAATTTGAACATATTTTGCAACCCCTTAAGAATTTGAGTTATATGAGAATTAAATTGTAGTCTATTACTGGTTATTGTTCTAGTGTTAAAATTTTCTTAAAAACTAATTATTTAATTAAGCAGGAATTTTGAGGGAAATATAATTATTTTTTTGACTAATGAAACTTAACTGGTTCCCAGCAAATGATTTGCAATAAATTTATTTCAAACTAAAAATGTAGTGAACAATGACACTGACCTAAATTATTATAGTGAAAGTCGTGCTTCAAAAAGTTGGTCAAATTATTAAAACCTCATAACTTTAGTGTGAGTAATAGCCTATCCCATTTTGACCCTCAAGAACAAATTTTAATACGCGAGTGTTGTAAGATATTCTCAAGTTGTAAGAGTGTTGTAAGATATTCTCAAGGTATTGTTTTCTTATTTAAATTTTTTTTATTTTAGTGTCTCTCTTTTAAAGTTTATTGTTTTTACATTTTTTTAGTTTTTACGGTCAACTTACAAATCATTAATTATATAATAACGTTATTACAAGTAATGGAAGATTTTTTATCTATAACGATTGTACGCATTTTTATTACTATTATTTTTGTTAACTAGTAGTTTTTTAAAAATGCACAAATTCGTTATGAAACTAAAAAAGCGTATTTTTTAAACACGAAAGCGTAGAGGCTAATATACAGCAATTAGAAAGTTGTTAGACCACTTCAAGTCTTGGGTATTTAAAAAGAATTTGTACAAGATTAGCTAAGTTTCCTGGCCGACCATTATTCTTGTTAAGCTCCTGTCATCATGTCGGAGAGCTTCATATAGCCATAGCCGTAAATAAAACTGTTAAGCTGGGGAAACAAGCTATTTATATCATAAAGCGATGAAAAGTTAAAAAATAGTAAGGTAATGATAAAACTGGTTTACTTTAAAATATTTTTTTGCAAAAACAATATGAATAAGTTCCTAATTTTAGAATTATTTACATATTAAGTTTTTAGAAGTGCAGAGATTATTGTGAACTTGTGATTATTTTTGAAAAAATCAGACCATTAGATGAAAATTAACAAATATGAAACTGTTTCACGCACCTTAAGTTTCATGAAACTCAAGTTGCATTGCTCTAAAATCAGGAAGGTTTTTATTCTGAATAATAAAATACTCAAAGAGATCAATGGAATGGCTGACTAAATTTCTCTCACCAGAAAATTGCGGTTTTTGACCTGCTACTTTTCTGATTCTGCTATTTTAAAGTAAAACTAAATTTCATAAGTTTTGGTATTTTAGTTTTATTATTTAAGAATAATTTATGTCATGAAGTAACATATTGTTTTAAAACAATGGTTTGCAAAGTGGTTTTAAATCAAATGTAAAATACAAAGAAAATAACTGTAAACCATTTTTTTTTTCTAATGACAGACTTTTCTTAAAATCAGTAGAAATATAATAAAAATAAAATGCACTTTGATTATATCTTGTCAAAAATAAATGTTATAAGTATTTAGCAATGTCATTTTAAACCTTATTTTATCTAAATTGCATTATTTTTAATTTACACTTTTAAGATCAATAAGGCTATTGGCAGATGTATATTGAGATGTAATTTAAATCATGGTAAATCACAATATAAAATATGGTAAAAAGTTTTGTATTCAAAAACAAAGAGAGGTCCGAGAAAAAGTAAAAACGAATAGAATCAAAGCTAAAATCCTTCTAAAAGTTTTTGTTGATAAAGATCAGCCACTAGGTCTTGAGTTGTATATTTAACCATACTTCTGGCTAATTTTTGATATTCTGTCATAGTTTGAAAATATGTCTACAAATGAGACTCCTTTAAACTTTTGAGTACAATGAAACTTTTAAATTCTTTCAAAGTTGCTAACAACTCCTCAGAACATTTGTCTTAAGCTGGAAATTTATATGTATATAAATTTTTATTGCACATTTGCAGCGTTTAGACGATGAATTCTGAAGCAAATTTGCTTCCGAAACAAGAGATCTGTGGCAGTGACGGATCCAGCATTTTTTGGTATTTTAATTAGCTAACATAGAGCAAAATCCAAATATTTGTATGTCTATACTCATGTCAAATTATGATGCTTTTTAAAAAGTTGCAATGATTTTTTTTTTGTGTGTGTGTAATTTATTTCCCCTTTAAAGAATGTTTACATTGCATATACATATGTCGAAATTAATAGCTGGAGCAAGAAGAAGACACATTTTGCCTTATCGCCGAGTTAAGAAGTGTTGAAATGTTTACAAACGCTAAAATGTTAAAGAATCTCTTAAACAAAAATTTTCGAATAAAAAAAGAACAATATAAAATTTCATAATTAACATAACTACAAGATGAATTTTTATTAACATCACTTAAATTTCACAAAAATTTTTGAATATAAAAAGAACAATATAAAATTTCACAATTAACATAACTACAAGATGAATTTTTATTAACATCATTTAAATTTCATTGATATAAATAAATTTGTTTTTATTTGATTAAGCTTACTTCAAAAGAAACATTTAAAGTTGGATAAATTAAGTTCCCTGAACAGTAATGATCTTTTTGATTCACTTTTAAATTGTTCTAATGTACTCTTGTTTTTGATTGATTGGAGGCTGGGAACAAAAAAAGCCCCAAAACTTCATCCCCCCTGTCCCAAACGTGAAAACAATAAATTGATTTAATAATTTTTTTGCTATTCTTAACTAAATTTATATTCATCGATAAATTTTAAGTATTGTTTGACAATCTCTAAGCGTTCAAAAATTGTCTATATTTAAAATATTTTCAAAAATTGTCTAGATTGTGTAACCCTCTCATATTGAGGGGCTTTAAACTTTATATGGTTATAATTTGAACTCTGAGAGATATTACTATGAAACTTAAAATTTATCAATGAATATAATCAAAGTTAAGAATTTCAAAAAAATTATTTTACCAACTTGTTGCTCTCACGTTTGGGGCAGTGAGGATGAAATTCTAGGGCTTTTTTAGTTTCCAGCCTCCAACCATTGCTATATTTTGCAAAGCATCATTGTTTGACATAAGTGTAAACATACAAATGTTTGGAATTTGCGCTATGTCTGTTAGCTATTTCAAACACCAAAAAATGCTGGATCCTTCGTTGATCTGTGGTTCGATTCCTACTCTAGACTTTTTTTCGACATGAAGGAAGTCTAAACTTCCAAGTTAAATGCTTTTTTGCGGTGCTCTGAGATGCGACCATTAGGTCTTCAAAAATGTGTATATACATTTTTGAATCAAATTGATACTATTATTATTATATATTTATTAAACACCTACAAGTTAAGAGTTTCATACAAGATAAATATAAAAAATGTTAGAATTTTTTTTTTTTTTTTCAAATGTAATCATTTGGAATATTTTTTTCAAGAATGTCCTTGAAGATAGTTCTCCGTTCTATTGAGTTCAACCACTCAACTGCACATTTTAGAGGTTGAAGACCCGTATTAGAAACTAAATTTTTGAGGCCGATGATTTTAGTTCATGATTATTGCAAAACCCATTGATACTATCTAAAAAGGTTTTGTTTTTCAACTGCGGCCTAATAATAAATATCATTTTATTGTTCATCAGGCGAATAAATAAGTTTAGCTTATTTTGTTGTGTAATTATTGATATATCTTCAATAAGGTATGAGCTTATTTTTTTGTGTAATTATTGATATATCTTCAATAAGGTTTGAATGTAATTTTTGCTATGTTTTGAAACGTTGAGGAATGACTAAAGTGCAATTTTTCCGACTACATCAAGCTTTTGCATTAAAACTTTTTTATGCTTACACAGCTCAAGACCATACGTTAATGTTGAAACAGCTAACGTTTTAATCTAGTTTAGTTTATAACAAAGCATCAAAAGTCCTTTACCCAATCTTTCAAGGAAACCATTTTGTTTGATCCAAGGCTCCAGTATTTTGAAACAGTATTTTGAAAAAAAAACATCATTTGATAACAAAATAAAGCAAAAATCATAAAGTTTGTTGCATGACTAAAAAAAAGTCTAAAGATCAACAAAAAATCACTTTACAGTAGCTAAAATGTTAGTTTATCTACCGTAATCAGTGTAAAATACGCACGACATATTTCTTAAATTAATGAACACAGTGTTTTTTTTTGGTACAGAAACACATAAAGAAAACATCGTTCAACAAATTAATTGGATTTGACATCAGTATCTATTCTCGCCAATGCTAAAAAATTATCATGATATGAAGTTTGCTTTATTAGTCATTATAGGTGCCTCAAGAACTTTAAACATTTAACGGATCCCCAATATCATCAATATTTCAAATATAAGTCATGTCTGGTATATATATATATATATATATATATATATATATATATATATATATATATATATATATATATATATATATATATATATATATATATATATATATATATATATATATATATATATATATATATATATATATATATATATATATATATATATATATATATATATATATATATATATATATATATATATATATATATATATTATAAGGCGCTGCGAAGCTTCGAAACTTTGAATTGAATCGAATCAAAAAAATGATTCAAGATGCGATTTGAAAATTTTCAAAAATCGAGTCCTTACTTATTTTCTTTTTGTTGCGGGTATTTTAGATATTCTGCGCTCTGGTGCTATTGAAATAACGTTACTTATCCTTAAATGCCTTTTTAGTCATTAAAAAGGTTAACCAGGGAAAGAAGT